CCCGATCTCTGGCTGACTGGGAGATAAGGCACAGATGGAGGCTGCCTGTGGATTCTAGCCCCAGGCGCCTTGCCTCTGCTCAGACAGAGGGCCTGGTGCTGTTATTACTGTAAACAGGGCCTTCTGGGCGGCTCCAACCAGGGTCCTGTTGCCCAGATAGTGATCATGATTGGGTCTGCATGGCTCAGTGCTTCCAGACCTCTGATGCAGGTGGGACAGGGCTCCCCACTCTTCAGCCCCTCCCCTGCTGCAGCTGAGGGCCAGTTCCTGCAAAGAATCAGGAAATCAGTTGGAACAATGCATGATTGAAGTTCGCTGGCCGCTTTGTATTGATTGGTCATAAAGAAAAAGGAAGAAAAGTGAAGTGGTATCTTCTTTCCCTGTGAAGAGCTAGTCAGAATGACTTACACCTGCCTCTGCCTGACTAGGACTTCTTCCCTCCTGCAAGCAACAAGCCTACAGAACTGTCTTGTGTTTGGAAGTCTTACAGTGTCAGGTCTGCTAGGAATCCACTTCTCAGTTTTCATTTTATAGTTTAGATATATTTATCAATATGTGTGTGATTGTTTTGCCTGTGTACATGTATGCACACAGTGTGTGTGTCTAGTGCTTATGGAGGTCAGAAGAGAATGTTGAATTCTCTGAAACTGGAGTTACAAGTGGTTTGGAGCCACTGCATGGGTTCTGGGAACCAAACCCAGGTCCCCTGCAAGAACAACATATATTTTCCCTTAACAGCTGAGCCAGCTCTCCAGCTCCAGATGCTATCCATATTTAAAATAAGATTTTAGCAGTAATTGGTACCTTAGAGATTTCATTTTGTTTTCCTGCAGAGAAAAATAAAGCTCGAAGAGGTAGATTTATCCCAAGCACCATATCAAGTACCTGACAACCATGACTTGAACCCATGACCATCAGACTTCCAGGCCATGTCCCCACCCACTCCTGAGTCTGCGATGCCTCTCATGTGTTTATACACAGGAGCCTAAGTACTTTGAAAAAGACTGTTAGCCACCAGTCTTCCACCACAAGACAGAAGTATTGGTGGCAGATTGGTATTTGCAGGTACTATAGAGAACTCCCATGTGCCAACTGCCAGAAGCAGGAGTTGTGGGGAGTGAAGTTGGGGGAGGGGGGTGACAGGTCATTTCTGGAGTATGCTGGTGACTGAGGAAGTCGGACAAGACAGCCAACTGTGACTGTTTTGATGCTGATTAACATGGGGGGGGCTTGGGGGCAACAGATCCTTTTAGGGAAACTTTAAAAGAATGAAACCTAATTTGGTTAAGGAAAAGAAGTAATACTGTGACCACTGCTGTGAAAACAACAGCAGAACTTTCTATTGTAAGGAGTGTTCCAAGCAGAAAGTGAAAGTTGGCCTGCATCCTTCCTCTCTCCCTCCCTAGTGGAAGTGATAATATCACCTCTGGTCTTTGGTCTACTGGCCTCTCCTACATCCCTGGTTACTAGAGGAGACTATGTTTTTTCCCTCTTGGCTCTTAGGCTCTGCTACTGACTGCTTTGCTTGGGGATTTTAGGCTGTTTCTAGACAAGGTTTCTGTGTGTAGCTGTCCTGGAACTACATTCTGTCCTAGTCTACTGTAGACCAGGCTGGCCTCAAACTCAGAGATCCATCCACCTGTCTTATGCCACCCAAGTGCACCATCACTGCCTGGTCAACATTCTCTAACATAAAGATAGAAAGCAGGAGCTGTTTTGGGAGGGAACAGAGAAGCCAAGTCACACATTTATTTATCCATGGGTTCTTCCTCTGTAAGTGGCAGCGGCCATATCTGAACTGAGTCTCTTCTACCTTATATACCCTGGGAGTTGTGCAGGAGCTGGGATTCAACTCCAGGTGTCTGCTGTGGTCTCCTGTCTACCCTGAGCCATCCCCAGTTAGTATCACCCACCACTATCCTGCCAAACAAGAGAGTTCATTAGGTAGGGCTGGCCCCAAGTCTAGAGTGAGCCCAAGAAAGCCTGCTGTGCCCACCCCCTCCCCTGCATGACACGGGCTGCTCTGCCCTGACTGGCAGCCAGCATTAAGCATTCTACTCATCATCTCAGGGATGATGGAATCCTAACCTTTACGGAGACACCGTGCTCTGTCACAAGCATTGCTCTTTTTAAAAGAGATTAATTCACTTGCCGCATTTTGTCCATTGGTGAAAATCGCAGGGGAGAGCAAGGGTGGCTTTCTCTGGCCTCAGAGGCCTTTTCAGCCACTCTCAGCAGGCAGTCATCGCCCCACCCCACCCCACCCCACCCCCAGCTGGCTCAGGACTTTGAAATGAGTGCCTGCTGGGCATTCACTTGTGAAGCAACAAAACGGAATAGGGAGGTCTAGTTTGTGAAGTCCTAACTTTGAGGGCTGCTCTGCACTGGGGGGGAAGCACCCCTGACTCAGCACTATAAGAAGAAAAGTTGTCTGTGGTTAGGTTTGCTATGGTGCTGGTGAGGTTATCTGGGTTCTTCCTCAGAGACCCACAGTGTGGCATGTCTCTCAATCCTGACAACCACCTTGCACAAGAGCGAGCGGTCAGCATCCTCTTCTTCACAGCAGATGAATGCAGAGCCTGAATCTAGACACCCTGGCTCAAGAGTGCAAAGAATGATGCTCGGTCGGGAGCTGGGCTTGGGAGCTGGTCTCACCAAAGAACACGATGGTTCACCTTATGTGACGGAGGAGGTTTGCAGAGCCCTTCCCTGCCATATGTCCTCACTGACCTCACTGAAGCTCTGTGAGAGGCTATGCCTGCTTAGGGTATTAGGATAGTAGGTGGCAAAGCTTAGGTATTATTTGAGACAATGTTTTACTATTTATCTCAGGCTGGCCTTGACCTTGCAGCAATTCTACTAGCTCAGTCTCCCAATAAGAGTTTTGTACTACCATGTTGCACTGGCCTTAAATTGTTTCACTAAAATGATAGCAAGTCAAAAACACACACACACACCAAGAGTGTCTTCTTCTAAAAACTAACCAAAAATCTTCACAGTAAGATAGCTCCATATATAACTAGTTCATAATTGTTCATCATAAGTTAAAAACAGCAATATATCCTGTTTACTCCTTAGACCTATAATCCCAGCATGCAGGAGGCTGAAACAGGAGGTTCATGAGTCAAAGCCAGCCTAGGCTGCTTAGCATATTCAAGGCTGGTATAGGCAATATAGTAAACCTTGTTTCAAAAAGAACAAACAAAAGCAAAGAAGCCTAGTATTGGCAAGTGTTGCAAGAAGAGGCATGCACAGAACACCCCTGTCCTGATGGTATAAAGGTCCACAGAGCAGTCATTGTCCTGGCAGATGCTGTCACTGTTATTCACATCACATGCATGTATGTCCTAATATGTAGTGGTCCCATTCCCAAGGAATGGTAACATAGGTCCCAGGAAACATGGGAAAGGATGTCCTTTGAGCATTGTTCTTGGTAACTACCTGGGTGTGGTTATTCTGGGGGAGGGAAGAGAAGAGTATGATGAATTATTCTGATCCCCTGTCTCATGTTTCATGGTCATGGATGTTAAAGCAGCTAAGTTAAAGCACATTGTTTCTGTGTGGGGAGGGGGAGGGGGAATCTCCTTTTATGCAAACCATATGGTGTCATCGAAACATTTGGCTCTGAAGCTTAAGAGATGAAGTACTGGTCCTCACTGTGATTCTGAAGGAAGCTTCAGACTCGGTAGGATAGAAGGTCAGGACCGGATGGGGAAAATCCTTTGCCCTTTTCTCATATGGACACCTGCCCAATGGATGGACCGTGTGTGTGAACTCATTATGTGGTCCAGCTGGCTTTGAGTTCATGAAGAACCACCATGCCTGGCTGAATTAAATTCTTGATTTTGGCACCATGGTCTTTGATTTCCTGCTGTCCTGGATCCTCCTAGAGTAGACCCCATGTCTTGCCCACATCTAGAGTCTAGCACAGGACCTTTTTGTCGTATATGAAGAGGGGTACTGAGCTGGAGGGTTAGCTCAGCTGTTAAAGGCTAGGCTCACAACCATAAATGAAGAGGGGTACTGTCTGGAGGTAAGCTGATGAGAGGAGATGAGGTGAGGAGAATCCATTACCAACCTGCTGTGTGACCTTTCACAAGTCATTTTCCCTCCAGTTTCCTAGTCCATTTAAGAGTTTACTATCTGCTCCTTAAGCTTGTGAAGAGTAAATAAACTCAGGAACAAGAAGTTCCAGGAGGGCAGGCCATGCTCTACAAGGTGTTAAGTGAGACATGACTCTATTCACCTGTCCCTGTCTGCCCTCTGTTGTAGGGACCAGACCCAGAATTCAGATTTGCAGTGATGCACTTTAGACCTTGTTGGTTTACTTGACAGTCGATTTACTCCTATATTCTAGGCACCTGGCGTGTAGATCCTTAGGTGTGCATGGGCTCTAGTGAGAACCTAACTTAGCATTTCTGAAATTCTTTTTCCATCTTTCTTTGAGTTGAAAGATTTGTATTTTCCAAACAGCCATGATAAAATAAATACAGTTGAGGAATGTGGTCATTTTGTGAACAGGGAACTACATGGACAACCTGTTAGGTCTTCTGTGCCAAACACGGGGAAGTTAAGGGAGAGGGTGTGGGCACCAAGTGTTTATCACATGACCTGGAGGCAGGATTTTGACATGGCAAAGGGTCTGAGAGGTTTCAGCCCAGGGAAGTAGGAGTGTCATAGTATCACTATTAAGATAGAGAAGGCAAATTCCTTTTCAAAAGGCTTCAGAGGATGACAGTAGGGAGCTGGGAATGAGAGGAGGGCGAGGGATGCCTCTGGTGAGGGGAGTGATCTGAGGCTGAGATTAGAACTCAAAGGACTATTTCCAGCCTCATCCAGCCTCCATACTTGTGTTTATCTGTTCTCTTGGCATAGTGTTCTCACTATGTTGTCCAGGCTGGCTTTGCACCAAATAAATGTCCTAGGTACTTTTCTGTGATTATTTCCACTCCTGTCCATGATAAGCCATGCTCTGAAAATATTCTTTTGTCTCTTGTCAGGCTGTTGTCAGAAGGTGCAGATGTCAACGCAAGGCACAAACTTGGCTGGACAGCACTGATGGTGGCAGCCATCAGCCGAAATGACAGGTAAGAATCTCCTTCCATCCAGGGCCCCCTGAGACAGGTCTCTTTGGACTGTCCCTGGCTGCTGGCCCAGCCTTGCTGCCCCTGCTGTCTTCTTCTGAGGCAGGCAGTCCAAGGTGGGGGACTATACCTGGGGTATGGGTCTATGTAATAGTGTGAAGAGTCACATGTGGTTTCAGATCACAGCAGTACCATTCATTGGCTTTGTGACCTTAGGCAAGTCACTGGTGTTATCATATCAGTCACATGTTTAAGAACAGATTATAAGTGATTGTGTGTGTGTGTGTGTGTGTTTGTGTGTGTGTGTGTGTGCGCGCGCGCGCACGTGCGTACACTATATTGAGAAGTCTTCTAATGGATTTTCCTTTTGAAGATCTGGAGACTTCCATCCCTTCCTCCTGTTGTGGCTGTGATGTTTTCTCACCTACTTTTCCCTTCATTTAAGGTTATAGCTATCATGTAAAGATTAAAAAGTAGAGACAGGAGAGTTAGCTCAGTCACTAAAGTTCATCAGGACCTGAGTTTGGAGCCAAATGCATCTGTAACCCAGTACTTTGAAGATTGCAGGGACAGAGACAAATGAATCCCAGGGACTCATTGGTCAGCCACTCTGAGTCAGAGTTCTAGGTTTGATGAGATGAGGAACCTGTTTCAAAAAGTCAGGTGGGTTAGGCTGGGCATGGTGGCATAGATCTTAAATCCTACCATTTAGGAGGCAGAGAAAGAAATTGTGCAACAACCACCAAATGTTTTTAGACTTTTTTCATCCAGTGCTGGAGATTGAACCTAGGGCTTCAGGCATGTGTGGCAAACACCAGCTTATACAGGAATGCTTTCAGAGAAGTACTGGACCCTTTAGTAGCAGCTACTCACCAATTTTAATTCTCTGGTCAAGCAGGTCTTTAAAGCTCTTATTGCTAGTTCTGGCCACTCTGAAAGAACCTGAAATGTGGAGAAAAGCCACAAAACTGGGATTTTCAAATTTTAGGAGGTGATCTGCTTCAAACCACCTGGAGATGTAGCTCTTCTTGGGATAGCTCTCTCTATGCTCTTATTGTGAACTTGATCTGAGTCAATCAGTTATTATTTGCCATCTTCAGCCCCAAGCATTTATTCTTTAAAGATAGTAGCTGTACACTGGTGGTGTAGCTCAGTGGTAGACTGCTTGCCTGGCATGCTTGAAGCCCTGGATTCAATCTCTAGCTTTTTTTTTTTTTTTTTTTTTTTTTTTGCTTTTGAGAGAATCCAGTGTGATTCTGTTTCTTTCCATGAGACATTATTTTTTATAAACATTCAGTAAATATGTGTTCTTGGGCTTTGTTAATCTTTGAAGAACCAAACCTTGGAGAGTGCGACTGGAGAGATAGCTGAGTGGTTAAGAGCACTGGCTACTCTTCCAGAAGACCCAGGTTCAATTCCTAGCACCCACAGCTCACAACTATCTGTAACTCCAATTCCAGGGTATTGGCACCCTCATAGAAATATTTGCAGGCAAAACACTAATGTACATAAAATAAAAATAAACATAACCTTTAAAAACTTGGGGTGTTCATAATTTAATGTGGGAAAGAATTGCAAGTAAAGAGAATAGAAGGACAATCAATTGGTGATTTGGGTGCAGGGTCTGCAGGGTGTGAGGTGGATGGGTGAAGGGATCTGTCTGGAAGCAGAATAGATAGATGGCTCACTGTTTCTTATGAGACAAATTAAAAAAAAAAAGTGTGTCTGCTACAGGTTACAAATGGTGAGTTGTTACTCTCTGGTGACCAAGTACACATGTTATCTCTTTATACATAAGCACACGTTATCACACACCCAGTTTGCCAGTTCCTCCATGTGTGGGGAAGAGCCAGTGCTGGTGGAGCAGACAGTGTGTTTCTTCTCTGTGTGGTATTTTCAGAGTTGGGACTAAATAGGAAGTAGCATTCTTCTTAAGAACACTCTCAATTAGTGACCAGGGAGCTAGAGGATGTGCTTTTGGGGACACTGCTCTCTGAGTTTAATGAGGTGCTGGTTTAACTGATTGCTTTGTCCTTCTCCGGAGGCATTAGCAAATCTGTGATACCTATTGAGCAAAATGAGTATTGGCTTCTAAGACTATTACTAGTTGGTTTTGGGTTTTTTGTTTATCTTTGTAATTATTTTTTATATATACATTGGGCATAGCCTTGAACTCTCCCTTTCTTTTGCTTTGTTTTTTAACTAATGCTGGAAATTGAACCTAGGGTCTTCTTTTGGGATGGGTTGAAATTGGGTCTCATGTGACCCGGAATGACTTGGAACTCCTTATCCTCCTGCCTTAGCCTCTTGACTACTGGGGTTCAGGTGTGTGCCACCATGCCCAGCCTAATTAATAGCATTTTGTTTTTTTAAATATGGGTGGGTAAGAAGGTTATATGCAGTGTGTATATATGTGTGCATGTACACTCCTTGATGTATGTACTAATGAAGACTAGAAGTTAACGTTGGACCAGGCAGTGATGTTGCATACCTTTAATCCCAGCACTTGGGTGGCACAAGACAGGTGGATCTCTGAGTTTGAGGCTAGCCTGGTGTACATGAGTTCCAGACCAGCTAGGACTACACAGATAAATTCTGTCTCAAAAAGAAAGAAAGAAAGAAAGAAAGAAAGAAAGAAAGAAAGAAAGAAAGAAAGAAAGAAAAAGAAAGAAAAGAAAGAAAGAAGAGAAAGAGAAAGAAGGAAGGAAGGAAGAAAGAAAGAAATCAGTGGGGCATCTTTCTGTATCACTCTACATTGTATTTTTCTCACTGAACTTGCTGATTTTACTGACTAGTTAATAAGCCTCTGCACCCATCTGTCTCTGCTTACCTTCAGCACTGGAGTTATAGACATGGTACCATGCCCAGCTTTTACATGGATACTCAGATCCACATTCAGGCCTTTTGGTTGCACAGTAAGCACTTTACCCGCTGAGCCATCCAGCCACAATTACTAGATTTTTAAATATCCATTGTATGCCCTCCTCTTTCTTCCATTGTCCAACTTTTATTGAAAATAGCATTTGTCTGGTTAGTTTTATTCATTAATATCATGAAAGTTTAGGGTCCTTACTTTTTGCTGTGTAGTTGAAATAATATCAATGATAAACAGATCTCTGTCATATAGAATTCTTTGGACAAAGGTATTAAGGGGAAGCAGAGAGGCACTGCCCCTTGATTCAAGGCTGACAACAGAGGCCTTCTGCTTACTTTAGTTGTCTGCCGCCTGTGGACCCAAAGAGAGCCCAGTTCACCCTCAGGCATCAGCTTAACATGTTAAGTCCATAGGGATCTCAAACATAATCACCTCAAATCTTTAAGGAGCTTAACTGCTCACCAATTGGGATTTCTGAATGCATTTATTTTATTTAGTTTTGAATAGGAAATGCGTTGTCATCACTGTGAATTTTATAAGTACACATAGAAGCTTAATTTAAGACTTACTCCTTTGTTTTATTTATAAAAAGGTTTTAAAGTGACTTAATTAAATACAAATATATATCAAAGACTTAAAACTGGATCAAGATCAAAATAATATTTTTAAAAGGAAAGATAATTGTATCAGGATATTGAACCAGAGGCTTTCTTTTCTAAAAGTAGGTTGTTTGTATAAAAATAATATTGAGGAGAATGTGTCAATCTCCCAAATTCCTTCTATCTAGAGATTAGTTCTTGAGTCATAGTTAACGTGAGTGGGAGTTTGCTGTATTGACTGTAAATTAGATAACTAATGAAGCCAAATATCAATTCAGAGTTTCTGTTCTTCTGGAGAGAGACGCTTTGTTCTGAAGTTCTTTTAATATTATTTCCTACATCCGGTAAACCCTTTAAACACTCATGTGTCAGATGCTGATGTGCTTAGCCACATGAAGATTCAGAGAGTAAGTGATCACAAACTTCATCCTAAAACACATTACTTGAGGGAGTGGGAAAATGGTCTGGCCAGTAAAATCTGGCTACATAAGTAAGAAGACCACATATAAGGCTGGGCAGGACAACGCACCCACCTGCCTATAATTTCAGCCCTAGTAAGGAAAAAAATAGTTAGGTATCTGGCCTGCCCAGGGTCAATGAGTGATCTTCTTTCAAAAAATAAGCTAGAGAGCATTGAAGAAGACATTCAACATAAGCCTCTAGCTTCCACATACATGTGCCATGTATACATACCACATTCACACACAGAGTTTGACTGCTTATATCAAAGGCGTGAGTAATATAATGGCCATTGTACATTGTATTCAATAGCCGAAGACTTACTAACACTTCACCAGGACCATCCCTTAGTCAGCCCTAGTAACAGCTTGGGTAGAATAGTAACAGTAGCAGTCAATGGTTTCTGAACCCTTGCTGAGCCTCCTGCCACAAGGCACTTGTGTAGCTTGAGTCCGGGTGCCCCATTCTGTGCTGCACTCTGACCCAGCCAAACTAAAGGCTAAGCCACACGGTCCTGGGATGATCACTTTGACTTAGAATACCCTTCACCAGCTAGTGCAAATATATGGAGCTTTCAGTGAAATTCGATTAGTCTTTCTCTAAAAAGGAAAAGAAATCCAATTTTACCAAACACGGACAGACGGTGGACAGCACTTTGATGTTACAACCTCTCAGTGATGCTTTACTTAGTCACAAGTTCATAAGCAAGAAGGCTTAATTACTTGGGAAAACACAGGATTAAAGCTAGACACAATGTCTGAGTATCCGCTGTCGAGCGACTTGATTCGAACCTGTGCACCCAGTTCGTGTGTGGTGGAAACTTTGATGTGCGGGATGACAAGCTGAAAGTCATGACCTGCTTGGAGAAGCTCCTTCAGATGGCAGTTGCAGGATCTGTAGGCGGAGAGGCAGGGTCTACCAGGCCTGTTTGCTCAACTTTGATGTCCAAGCAGCCACAGGCTCCACTGTTTGCTCTTTCACTGGAGGATGGATTGGGAGCCTCCCACCTTTCCCAGTGGACAATGGCCACCGATGGAGTGTGACGACTGTTGACCATTCCAGAAGCCTGG